TTTGGACTTCTAGCCTCCAGCACTGTGAGAAAATAAACTTCTGTTGTTTAATTCTTCCAGCCTGTGGTATTTTTTATGGCAGCCTGAACTAATACAGGAAAAAAGTTTCAGATAGTTACTCAGGTCTACTTCTTACGGAATTCCAAATATCTCTCAGAACCAAGAGCTCAGAGAGTAATTCAAAGAGACAAAGAGAACCACAAATTAGGAAACTATCCCCAGGAAGCAGAACTGGGTCTTGGCAGCATTGTTTAGACTCAGAGGTGACAGACCTAACACCATGTGCCCTCATAAATTTCAGAATTACAGGCATCAGTGAAAGTTATGTGTCTTTCATTTCTCTCCTTTTGAGTAACACTGTTCATTGTGACAATTTTGTCCCTGCTTCACCACTGTTTGCTAAGTGTGCAGGAGCAGTATTTAACATCATTTTAATTCACAGATCTCTAGACCAAAAGAAGCTGCACCCAGAGAACATCATCCACATCATATCTGTTGTGGAACATATAATCATGGACCTCTGCATGATACCATCATGGAATGAAACTTTTGGGGGGTTGGTGATTACAGTCTGCAATTGGATGGGTTGTGGACCATGATGTCAATGGACCAACAGATTGACTGCTACATAAATTGTCCCCACAAATTCATTTCTCGTGTCATCCACATCTTGTCTAATATTCTACTGCATTAACAAAGGGATTGATTATGTGCTTTGCTTTGGCCAGTGGGACTTGAACAATCATAACACACGCAAATAGTTTAAGCTTTTGCCCACTGAGATCTGTCCTCCTAGAACACTGTCCCAGACATGGGTGTGAGGCCCTCTTAGTCACTATTTCCAGTTGAGTTAGCAGGTGTTTACATCCACATAACTGGCCCCAGGCAAGAACTAGCAAAATTGTCCAGCTGAGCCTAGAACAAATTGCTCAACGGTAACAAAATAAATGCTTGTTCTAGCCACAAAGTTTGAGAGAGAGACAGAGACAGAGAGAGAATGTGTGTGTATGTGTATACCAATAGATAGAAAAAAAAATGTTTACTTTTCTGAAGGTAGTTTCATTAAAACAATAAAAACCAAATCCAGATTCCGATGAAAAAGTGAGTAATTTGTAGGAAACAAATGTTTAATTTATGCAATCCTTTTCAGATGTTAGTTAGGTAAAACATGAAGAAAGAGAAAAAGATATGTTTAAAGGTGTATGGGATAAAAAATATTTTCTTGAAAACAAGAGAAACATCAATATTTTAAATATTGATAGGAGTGAGTTAGGGGAAAAAAAAGTAAATTTGGAAGAGAGATGTGAACACCTGATGGAACAAGATCCTTGAAAAAGATGGAATGCAGATGAGGGGAGTAGCTACTGAGGAGGGAAGAGATTTGCCACGGAAGGACAAAAGGAATATTTGTGGAATTCAAGAATGTTGTGGGATAACAAGAGTTTGAAGCATTTCTATTGTCATACCTCCTATTTTCTTCGTAAAGTAAGAGATGAATGAATAGTGAATTAGAGGATTTGGAGACCTGAACCAAAGAGAGGACGGGAATAGCCACTGGAAAATACTAGAGAAAGTTCTGGTTAACAAACAGAATAATTTCAGAGCACTGCTAAAGGCCCCACTGAGGTTGGACACCATGAATGTGTAACATCTCAAATTGGGATTTCTGTGTAATGTTTTCTGGCACTATTCAGCAGCCTGGGGTGTAGGAATGGAGATGGCAGATCATGAGAGGGAACTCATCAGGGCTTGCAGAATTCTGTCAGACTAGAAGGATGGTAAGATAAAAAAGTAAAGAACCAGATATACCAATTAGTGAGTGTTTTAAGAGATGAATACATTAGTCAAGAAAGTAAATAATGGAAAACGGGAATGATAGAATGGCAAATAGTGAATACTTTAGGATTTGAAGTGTCCTTAAGTTTCAAATGAAATAGAATTAACAGAACAAGAGAACTCAAAGTATTAGAGATTTAGTCAGTAGGATCAGATGATTAAATATTATTTTTCAGAATTCAAAAACACATGTGAAATGGTATAAGCACAGCAAAATTTTCTAACTGGAATTGTAGGCATTTCATCATTCATATTTTTTTGATCCTCATAGCTGACCTACTTTCAGGGATACTTTCAGTACGGGGGAGAATAGGATGTTCTTAGATCTCAGACACACCTGCCTGGATGCTAACTCTGACACTGACTGTGTGATCTTGGGGGAAGTCGTTATCTCCGGAATCTGTTTCCCCACCTGTAACTGGGGATAATGGCAGTTTCTACCTCACAAGTTTTTTGTAAGGTTTCAATGAAATCATACATATTAAGTGTTTAATACGGCCTATGATATATAGTAAGCACTTAGTATTACCATTACACCACTTTTACTGCTAATAATGTTATCATTTTTGTATAACACATTCTTTATATTTTAAAGAATGATTTCTAAATACTTTCTATGCCGTTCTTTCAAATCATGGTAACATTTTAATGATTTGTATTGATCAAATGAAGAAAAAATTTTCAGTTCAGTAGAAATGACTCCAAAGTAAATAAAGCTATCTCTAGTCTAGGTCATCTAGAAAAAGACAGTGGAAAAAAAATAAAACAAAATCTAGTACTTGTATGGGAAGTTATCCAGGTAATTACTTCTATCATATTGCCATGTTTTCTCATTCTTTGCAAAAATAAAATATAGAGAAAAGGTTGACAGTAACTCTACTTTGAAGAATTTTCTTTTCAAAATTCAGAATTGCAATTAAACTATTAGGAATGCATGGACAGACTTATGGCAGATTCATCTCTGCTAATCACAGGCTCTACAGCATTCATTCTGACTATAACGGAAACCACTGCGATTCAGTGTGCAAACAAACTATAATTGTTGATCCAAAGAAGACTGACCTTAGGGCACCTGGGTAGCTCAGTCGATTGACTGTCCACCTCTTGATTTTGGCTCAGGTCATGATATCACAGTGCATGGGTTCAAGCCCACATCTGGCTCTACACTGACAGGGCGGAGCCTGCATGGGATTCTGTCTCTCTTCTCTCTCTGCCCCTCCTCTGCTTGCTTTCTATCTTTCTCTCAAAATTAAAAAAAAAAATTTTTTTTAATTTAAAAAAAGATTGATCTTTTCACTCACTTAATGTAGTCCATACCCAAAGTAGATGATGGCTTTATAATTATCTATAGAGCTTTATCTAATAAAAGATTAAGATGATTCTGATTAAAAGCAAACAAGCACTGTTTCCATACGAAACCCCACAACCATCAGCAGTAGCCCCCAGCCCTAGAAAACTAATCTGCTGCCTATATAGACTGGCCTATTTTGGATTTTCCACATTAACGGGATCATACAATATGTGGTCTTTTGTGATTATGGTAATGGTTGCACAACTCTGTAAATACACTAAAAAATGCTGAAGTGTACACTTTAAATGACAAACTTTATGATATGTAAATTATCTCAATAAAGCTGTTTTAAAAATCAAGCACTTTATAGAGAAACACAATCGATAAGTTAGGCAAATGTGAAAATGGTGTAATTAAAAGAAGATGAACTGCAGGCCTAGAGAGAGCATCACTTTCTTTTTCTCTGTCCTTGACCCCAACCCAATCCCAGCATAAATGTACTCCTTACAGTCCCAAGAAAAACCCAATTTCAATGGGAAGAAATGTCACTGTGAATTGAACAAAGCCAAGAATGTTATTTGAGCCATACTTTCAGATTTGCAGGCCTTAGCAGAAGAAATGTACTTATTTGGGCAAAACACCCCTTTCTCTTTTGCTGGCTGGCAGATCCTTCATGAACCAGCCTGTCTTCATCATTGGGCCATTTTTCCCCCAACAACTGGAGTAATAAAACATGAAGTTTGGGTAATGTTGGAGACATAATTAACCAGTTACCTGCTTTGACTCCTAACCCCCAAATCCAGAGGAATCACATAATCTGCAACTCAAAATAGGACTTATTTTTTGCCCTTCACGTTGGGGATTGCAATGGAATTTGGGGTGGAGGTTCCAGCTGGGATCACCAAGTTGTTTCTCTGCGTTATTTTGCCCTCTGCACACATAATCCCTTGGAAACTGGTAAAGGGGTGAGCCCTGTTGCTCCCCCAGAACTAGACAGGTAAAGACAGTGCCTGGGACTATAGGCAATGAATGAATAAAACTGAATGTTAAACTCCTCCCAAGGGTACAATCAGCTGACAACTTTTATTGGATAAAATATTTTCAAGTGGTAAAAATGTTGAGAAGAAATGTCCTGCAATTTTAAGGACTACACTCGTATGCCTCTTGAAGAAGACAACACCCTACATCAAGCATGAAGACTGGTCCATCAGAACTTTCTCAGAGCCATATCCAACAACAGTGGTGAGGGAAGAGATACAGCACAAACCTATCCTCTTGTTTGCACAATCTATTTGTGCAGTGTTTGCACAGAATAATCTTAATGAAAGGTATGGGAAGGTTTTTATCATTCTTGTCATCTTTTGAAAATAACCAGAAGTTACAGTGTTTTCAGGATTGAACTCCCTTCAGAATAATAAAGGCAAACAGGTTAAAAAGACAGAATCATTACATTCTCTTTCAACAGACCTATTAAGTATTTCTTTAGAACAAAATAACTCATTAAGAAGGGCACACCGTCCTTTCACACACCAATTTACTCATCTAATCATCTAATCAGTTTAGTGTCCCTAAAAATGATGTAAATACTATTTAATTTACTAGTCAAGTTGGCTTATGGAAATTACTACTTAGCATGATTGCCTCCGGATAACGAACAAACAGGTAGGGGAAAAAAAAATCTATTTAATAAGGTCGTTTCACCCTTCTGAAGTGAGACTATCAAAAACATGTCTAGATTAGTAAATTATACAACTAAGCAAAGATTCTATAAAATATTCCAAGTATCATTAAAAAAAAATAACTCCCTGGGATGAGTAACAACTCTTACAGGTTCTATCAAGCTTCCAAAAAATGTTAGCATTTTAAATCTTACCCGTTTCAAATGCTCTTGTATTTTAGATTCCACATTTTCAATGTGTGAAATGATTTTGTTGACACATGGTGCTGGGATGTTTACTAAAGCACAGCTTTGACGTCGACATGGGTAACTAAAGTAAATGCCTTCATTCACCCCTTAAAGATAAAGCAGACAGAAATTAGTTAATAGTTACATACAAAATAGTAAACTGTGATATTCAGAATATGCAAAAAATATTCTGCTTTATTAATACTAACACTTTTTAAATTTCTTTAATAAACACATTGACAAAGAGTTCAGAAAATTATAGAATGGTATGATATTAGGTGATATTAATTATATGTAATTATATAAAGTATTTTATAACATCATGAACTAAACATTAAAAAAAAAACTAAAGAAAAAAGGCAAAAAAACAGTTAATCCAGTAGTTTCTAAATAGTTCCTGAATCACTTAAAAAATGCCTTTGAAATATATTTCAAATTCTCCCTTCAAAGAGAGTCCACATCTCCCAGTGTAAATAATATCCAACCATTCATGCATTGAAGAAGTTCTTTAAATCCAGCATGAGTTTCTCTTGCTGAAAAAAAATAAAAGCAGGTCCCCTTCATCCTTATAATAACCTCATTTTCTACCTTCCATTTCTGAAAATTGGAGTCTCATGCAAAGAGTGATTGATGTTCCCACTATAGCATTCAAGTTGTACTCATCATAAAATCCACTCAGTCGGATGTGCCTCAGTGATTCTAATCCTGGCATGTCCCGAGTCGACTGAAGGTTGCAGAAGCACAGCAAAGTTGTCCATGAAACTCCACCAAAGTGCTTACTTGCAGTCCTTTTGCCTCTAAGGACTCTATTGGGCTGGATGATAGCTGCAGTCACTGATCTTAAATGCAAGACACAAAATAGGCTCGGTGCCTCAGTGAGAACAGTGTGATGTCCTCATTTCGGCTGACCTTGAAGAACACAGAAGTTATGCCGTTGCCTCCAGACTGTGCTTTTTGTTTCCATGCCAACTCAGAGAGTAAATATCTTCATTTAAACAGCAATGTTTTAAATATCTTTTAAATAACATCTCCTCCAAAAACATAATGTCCGTGAAAACAGCATACCTGTTTCATTTACAAATGTTTACACTATCCCATATGTTACATATATGTATAAACACATATACGTGTATACGTATATATACACACATATATGCACACTAACATTTTTTGAGAACTAAAAATATATGCCAAACATGGAACTATGCTAAGTACTTTTGATTCCATATTTTATTTAATCTTCACCACAATCTTATGAAATGGATTATCTCGATTTCATAGGTGAGGAAACAAAGGCTTAGAGAAATTATATAATGTGTCCGTTTCCACAGAACTGGTAGGTGGGAGAACTGAAATTTGAACTATATCTCCTTGGCTTTGGAGTATAAGCCATACTTTAAGGTTGTTCTTATATTTTTACAAAGTTGGCAAAAAAAGCGAAGCAGTCCTAAAAATATATTTCAGGGCATCTCAAATGTTTCACATATTACTCATTTTTGAATTTTGCTTGTTCCTTCAAGGTATCAGTGCTGATATTCCAATGTAGCTTAGTTTGCTTTGACTATACTCAACACATATACTGCTATGAACATTTCGTGTGTTATATTCCATCTCTCATCTATAGTTCATACACAGATATATATTTTCATCTCCGTAACAGTCATAGGGCTAAAGAACAAGCTGGTGAAAATTACATATTGATCTCCTATCCAAATATCTTGATAAGGGCATGTTGCCCTTCCCTCTAGAAATAAAGTTTTAATACACATTTAACAACCAGGCAGTTGTCCTTAGACTCAAAACATTTGTTTTGCTTCATTAAATGTGGAGAAAACAAGGATGGCAATGACTCATTTAACATTTTTTTGTATGTACCACTCTCACCCTATTATGTGAATACTAATTAATTTCCATTACACCCCTATGGTTTGGGATTAACATTTTGCATACAGTAAAGTGAAGAAATACGATGAAGTTAAAATTTGCAATAAAAGTCTGTAAAAGACATGGCATCTTGAGTAGCACAATGTAAACCCAGAATCCACGAGTTATTATCACTGTTTTTATTCTAATACAGGCATAATACAAGTTACAACTTTCCTTTACATTTCTTTTCAATTTAGAGACACCCTAGATCACTACACTAGGTGCCCATGTTCATTCTTTTTTTGACTGGAATGATAACTAACTGTGCTTAAGTTAAAGCTATCCAGTCTCTAATCTCAGATTTCTGACTTAATAAATGAATGGGTTGGTAGGGTGTTGTACAAAATCTTTTTCACCTTAAATTCCATGATACAGCTAATTAATGATTTTAGTCAAACATACTGATAGAACTCCTCGCAAAGCCTGTGCACAAATTGTCAGGGTGAGTGTTTAAAGACAAGCGCAGGCAAGACTTATAACCTCTCTAAACATCTGCCCAACTTTAACTCCCTTACTCGGAACCAATGCCTAAGAGGTAAGTAAGATCTTCCTGGATCTAGGCTACAGTTGAGGTTTGTTGGCTCTATAACATGAAACTCCCATTTAAAAAAATACAGACTGGTTGATTTTATGGGCAAATGAAATAAAATGCAGTGTTCATAAACTGCCAACTCTCTTTGCAGTGAATGTGATCCTTTCATAATTTATTCACCCAACCCATCCTCCCTTCTCTCCTGCTTTTAATATGTGGTTCCTTTATGTCCATTACCCGAATTACTGTATTGTCCCTTTATCTGAACTCAGCACTCAGGAGAAAACTTATTGAAACACTGATTTGCTTTTCACATTCTGTTATCCCTTTTAACATCTTTTCTTTCCCAGATGTAGAAAAAGTCAGTGTTCTCAAGTTTAGAAATAACTTCTCCTCCTTGGAAAGCCTCTGTGTGATTAACAGAAAGTACCTTTAATTTTTTTTTTTTTTTTTTTTTTTTTATAGACACAAAGTTCCCTTTAGTTTTTGTTACATAGAGGAGGAATCGGGGTATAGGGAACCTTTCTCTGACTTTAGAATTACTTTCTTTTTATTGAACCTTACAATGTAGAAGACATTTATCACTGAATATATAAAATAGTATGCATAGACTCTCAGAGTTGGAGATGACTAAAGACTGCATCTACTCTAACCACTTTCTTTTTATTTTTTTTATTTTTTTTAACATTTATTTATTATTGAGAGACAGAGAGAGACAGAGCATGAGTATGGGAGGGGCCGAGAGACAGGGAGACACAGAACCTGAAACAGGCTCCAGGGTCTGACTGTCAGCACAGAGCCCAATGCAGGGCTCGAACTCACAAACTGTGAGATCATGACCTGAGCCGAAGTCGGACACTTAACAGACTGAGCCACCCAGCAACCCCGAACCACTTTTAATATATAAATGGCCCTGTTCAGTGTTCACTTATCACCAGTCCCTTCAGTCTTTTAAAACTCTGCAATTTCAGTATATTTAGTTTTGCTTCCCTTAAGTAATCACAGGTCTATTTCTGTGTCTGACTACTTCCTATAGCTATTATCTTATACTAAATCTTGCTTTGACTAGCAATTTTTTCAGATGAGCATTCTATACCAACAGTCACAATACCCTCACTTCCTGTTCTCTTCTTTAAATTGCAATTTCTATGCAAATATTAACAGCCTTCTTACATGGCCCTTTCCCTATGAGGAATTCTTGAATCTTTCAGACATTTGGATCTACCTATATAATTTCTATTTCTTTATTAGAACTTAACACATTGCATTCTAACTGTGTCACATCTATCTGCTTCCCATCTATCTTCCCATGAAGTTTTGCATTCTTTATGGAGAGAAATTATATTTAGTGGCTTAAAAGCTATTGAATAAATAAATGAAAGAATAAATCACTTTTTGAAAAATGTTATCATGCTGTAACCTGGCTTCTGTTCTCTCCTCTCTAAGAAATCTTCATACAACAATCCCACCAATCAATATTTCTACTACTATCTGTGAAGGAGTAACTGATATAGATTTAGTCTTCCAAGTATGAAAAAAAAAAACAAAAACGCAAGACAACTATTTTCAGACATTGGAAAATAGGAATTCCAGGCTTTGACTCCTGAGAAAGGAAAATTCATAAGGTTGAGTCCCACAATAATCATGCTCTCTGCCAAGGGACAATTTTTCAATTGCAATATAGAGATCTGGGGGAAGAAAAGAACATGGAAATCCTGTTGAGATAAAGGGCAAAGATTAGTATCATAGGTAGTGGAGACAGAATCTTCAGGGCAGGAAACTGAAAAACACACAGCCATGCAGAGAAGGACCCCAAAAAATCCATGTGAGAGTGCTCTCTGAATCTGTAGATAAGGGCTAGACTGTGTGTGTGTGTGTGTGTGTGTGTGTGTGTGTGTGTGTGTAAAGTGAAATTGCCTGAATATTTTTTGCAGAAAACCAAGCATATACCACTTTTTTTAAATGTATATTTATTCATTGTGAGAGAGAGAGGGAAAGAGAGAGACATAGCAAGCAGAGGAAGGACAGAGAGAGAGAGAGGGAGAGAGAGAATCCCAAGCAGGGTCCACACTGTCAGCACAGAGCCCAGTGTGGGGCTCAATCCCATGAACCGTGGGATCATGACCTAAGCAGATATCAAAAATTGGTGCTTAACTGACTGAGCCACAGACATTCCCAAGCATATACCACTTTTAAGTTAATCAAATGATTAACTGAGCTGTCTACTAGAAAAAGAATCAATTCTCTTCAGAAAAAAATAACAGAATCCAGAATCTTCACAATGTACTACACAAATATCCATTATTAAATCATACAAAGAAACAGAAGAATGTGTTTTAAAAGTCTAGAAAAAAAATCAGTAGAAACTGAACCCAAGATAGCCCAGAAGTTGTACATAGCAAAGATTTTAAAGTAAATTATAAATACGTTCTAAAAGGTAAAGAAAAAAATATGTTCAAGTAATTAAAGGAAAATCTGGTCTTTACAACTGAACACACATTTAGTATCAACATAAAAATAAAAACTATGAAAAAAAACAAATGGAAATTCTATAACGGAAAAGTATGAAAATTTAAATTAAAAAATATATTGGTTGGACTTAGCAACAAATTGAATATGGTAAGGACTCAGTGAATGTGTACACAAATTGATAGAAAATATCTACTCTAAAGAACAGAAAGGAGAATGAAAAGAACAGAACTGTGGGACAAAAATCAAACAATCTAACGTGAAGTTGAGGTTCTTGAAAAAAAAAAGAAATTTGGAGTGAAAAATATTTGTGGAATAACGGCCACATTATTTCAAAATTTGATGAAAAAACACTGACTTATACATCTTAAATCTCAGCAAATCCCAAACAACTAAAATATAAAGAGAACAAACTACATCTGGTAATATCATAGTCAAATTGCTGAAAAAACAATAATAAAGAAATAGTCTTTAAAATAGCCAGAAAACATGACTATGAAGGTAATAGGATATGAAGAGCTACTATTCTAATAAGAAAAAAATGCAGGCCAGAATATAATAGAAAAATCTATTTAAAGTGCAAGCAGGCAGGAGGCAGGAAGGAAAGAAGGAAGGATGGAGAGAGAGAAACATTAAAGAAAAAATAAATTAGACTTCACCAAACAAAACATTCAGCTCCTCAAAAAAAAAAAAATTACAATAAATGAAAAGACAAGCAAGAGAATGGGAGATAATATGATTGGAAAGTTGGAGCATGATCAGAGAATTACAACTTTCACTCCCGTTCCAGACCTCCAGGAAAGGGAGAGGGGCTGGAGGGAATCAATTGCCAATGGCCAATGATTTAATCAGCCATGCCTAGGTAAAGAAGCCTTCATAAAAACCCAAAAGGAGAGGGACTGGAACGCTTCCAGGCTGGTGAACACATGAAGATTTGAGGAGAGTGCAAACTCAAAGAGGGCACGGAAGATCGGCACCATCTGCCCTACTTTACTCTATACATCTCTTCCACCTGGCTGCTCCTGTGTTATATCCTCTTACAATAAACCCGTAATCCAGTAAGGAAAATGTTTCTCTGAGTTCTGTGGGTCATTCTAGCAAACTCAAGGAGGGGGGTTCATCGGAACTGCCAGTCTATAGTAGTTGGTCAGAAGCGTAGGTGATATCTGGGCTTTGGATTGGCCTCTGTGGTGGGGGGAAGGGCAATTTTGTACAACTAAGCTCTTAACCTGTGGGATCTGACTCTAGTTCTAGGGAGATGGTGTCAGAATTGAATTGCCTTTTAGGATCCTAGATGGTGTCCAAGAATTGCTGGTAGTCCGGAAACTCTACACTCACACACTGGAATTGGGTGCAGAACCTTTAATTACTTTATGCCACCTCTGCTATTACTCTATACAGCCATTCTTTTCTGCTGTGTTGTACTAATTGCCTGACAATTATATTTTACCTGGCCTGATAGATTATACATTTCAGATAAGGGTATTTTCTGAAATACCTCTATATCCTAATAGCACATGTATATTTCAGTGCCTTGAATTAACGGTTTCATAAACCAATCATTGGTATTTTACAAACTTTGTCCCAAACTGTAACAATAAACCCTAAGTCTGGAGATTAAAACTCTCTTCAACATTTCTACCTGAGAAAAATAGGTAAAGAATCAGAATGCCACCTTATCCCAATTTTATCTTGTCAAACTGAAAATCTCCAGAGCAGAAGTTTATCAAAATCAAGAGTAAACATTTTTATTAATATAGAGTTCTCCTCCAAAATAATCTGAAGTACGAACCCTCATACATGAAATGTATGCATTTTGTCATCTCTTTCTACCTCTTTCCACATACAATATCAGAAACACCTTCAAGAGCTAATATTTTATGGACTCTGAATTCTGGATTTCACACCACAAAAACATGAGCCCTGCTTCTTTTTCTTCTAAGAAACATATCCTCAATGAACTGGAAAGGCTCTAGCACCTGCTAATCTTGGCATAAGCAATAAAGAAAATGTTCATTTTAAAAATTCAACATTTCTGAAATTATAAACAATTCTTATAACCAACTGTAATATAATATTATTAATAAAATAGGTAATAATATTGTGTTCTTAATATTATATATCATTATGCTAAATAGTACTGATATTTAGGATGTATTTCTTAATAAAAATATAATATGGACATCACAAACCAATGAGAAAATATAGCTTACATGGATTATTATATAACTTATTTTTTGTCCTTACCTTCAGTATTTGTCATTTTATTTTCATGAAAAATCTCAATGGCTTCCTTAGGGGCACCAAATAGAACCAAAGCTTGTGATGTGGCATTGTCTTTGAAAAAGAAAACAAAAATTTCAGTGGGCAGTTAATATAAATTTATTTAAATAAGAACAATAATATGTAAAACTATGCTGTAAAAGTGTTATCCTTGCAAAAGCAACTATAGTTCAAATATTAACCAAAACCCACAGTAGAATATATTTGGATGTTTTCTCTGGTACTTCAACTGGGTTAACTCTCACAAGAAGGTATTCCAAATAGCATCCAGCTATTAAAAGCAAACACTGAGAGACTGTTCAGAGTGACATCACCAAAACAATGGAGTAGGAGACCCAGCCTCCATTGTACAACAAAGTTCAACAGTTAGATGGTTATGAACAAACAAAAATAGTTCTGGGAGAGCTCAGGAATCCATTCAACAAACTTTAGCAACACAGTAGAATAATCCCACAAAGAGGGAAGGAAAACAGCTTCATTTTGACCGCATCATCCCATCCACCAGGCCAACATTGTTTAGCACCAAGAGGAAATGCTCCAGCTTGAAATAGTTCCCCTCACTGGGAAATGGAGGACAGGGTAGGAGACCAGCTCCCCTACCCTTCTGGGGCACTGTACAAGAGATCTACTTTGGTTTCACCCCACTCAGAGACTGGCAAAGCCAAGACATATGGAGAGGGTTTCAAACAAGGAAGAAGGGCAGAAGCTACCAATATCAGTATCAATATACAGAAAAAGTGATCACATTTCCCAGTGGCCTGCTCTGCAGAAGACCCCAGCGGGTTTGCTGGAGAAGGTATCCTAAAATGAAAGAGAGGGTTAAGTGTTTCCCAAACATAAGGTGAGGGAGTTCACCACCACCAGACCTGCCTTACAAGATATTCTGAAAGGAGTTCTGCAAGCTAAAATGAAAAGACTTTAATCAGTAACATGAAAACATTTGAAAAAATAAAATACACATTGGTAAAAATAATTACATAGTCAAATTCAGGATACTCCGATAGTATAGTATAGTGGTATGCTAATTGCTTAACTCAAATATAAAGATTAAAGAAGTATTAAAAATAGCTATAGCAGTAGTAACTTACTAATGGATACACAATATAAAAAGATGTAAATTGTGACATCAGAAACATAAAAAGGAAGCCATAAAAGGGTAGAGTTTTTGTATGTAATTGAAGTTGTTAATCAACTTAAAATATACTACGATAGCAGGGTACCTGGGTGGCTCAGTCAGTTAGGTGTCCAACTCTTGGTTTCAGCTCAGGTCATGATCTCATGGTTTTGCGAGTTTGAGCCCCACATCAGGCTCAGTGCTGACAGGGTGGAGCCTGCTTGGGATTCTGTGTCTCCCTCTCTCTGTCCCTCCCCCACTCTCATAGCTATCTCTGTTTCTCTCTCAAAATAAATAAATAAACTTTAAAATATTAAAATATACATATATATATATACACACACATATATATATGTGTATATATATATATACATATATATATATATGTATACTACTATACTCTAAAATGTTTTATGTAAGCCTTAAGGTAACCACAAAGCAAAAACCTATAGTAGATACACAAGAGAAAAAGAAGGGAATCAGAGTACACACTATGGAAAATTATCAATGCATAAAAGAAAACAGAAAGAGAAGAAGAAATGAATAAAAGAAGTATAAAATAGGCAGCAAACAATCAGTTTAGAAGAATAGATCTAGGAAACTCAGTGACTCCATCAAACATAATAATCTCTGTATGATAAGTGTCCCAGAAAAAGAAAGAAAAGGGGTCAGAAAATTTATTTGAGGAAATAATAGCAGAAAACTTCCCTAATCTGGGAAAGGAAACAGATAATCAGATTCAGGAGGCACAGAGAACTCCTGTCAAGATCAATAAAAGCAGACACACACTAAGACAAAATGTAATTAAACTTGTAAAATACAGTGATACAGAAAAAAAATCTTAAGAGCAGCAAGACAAAAGAAGTCCTTAACCTCTAAGAGCAAACCCCTAAGGCCAGCAGAACTTTAAATACAAATGTTGCAAGCCAGAAGGGAGTGGCAGGATATATTCAACATGCTGAATGGGAAAAATATGCAGCCAAGAATACCCTATCCAGCAAGGCTGTCATTCAGAATACAAGGAGGGATAAAGAGCTTCCCAAACAAAAACTAAAGCAGTTCATGACCACTAAACCAGCCGTGCAAGATATATTAAAGGAGACTCTTTTAGTGGAAAGCAAAGACCAAAAGTATAAAGGAGGAAAGCAAAGGCAGGAATAATGAATATTTCTGTAAAAAAATCGGTCAAGGAACTCACACACACGCACACAAAGGATATAAAATATGACACCACATACCTAAAATGTGGGGAGGAGAGGAAAAAAGAATGGGTTCAAACTGAAAAGACCATCAACTTCATATAGACCGCTATATGCAAAAAAAGGTTATATAAAAACCTAGGAGCATCTGGGTTACTCAGTAGGTTGAGGGTCCAACTCTTGATTTCAGCTTTGGTCATGATCCTGGGGTCACGGGATTAAGGCTTGCATCAGGCTCTATGCTCACAGAATGGAACCTGGTTGGGATTCTCTCTTCCTCTCTCTCTCTCTCTCACTCACTCACTCACTCAAAATTATTAAATAAGCTTAGAAAAAAAGAGTAAAGGTTATTTACAAACCCAATGTAACCACATATCCAAAACCAATAATAAAAAGGCAAAGAATAAAGAGAAAGAAATCCAAATAAATCACTAAAGAAAATCACCAAAACGTGAAAGAGAAAAAGATAAGAAAGAAACAGAGTAAATCTTCAAAAACAAAAAACAAGAGTGACAGAATGGCAATAAATACATATCTATCAATAATGACTTTGAATGTAAATGGAATAAACACTCCAATCAAAAAAAAAAAGGTGAAAAAAATAAGACCCATTTATATTCTGCCTATGAGAGATTCATTTTAGACCTAAAGATATCTGCAGATTGAAAGTTAGATGATGGAGAAACATTTATCATTCAAACGGATGTCAAGACAAAGCTGGAGTAGCAATACTTATTTCACCAAAATAGACCTTTAAACAAAGAGACAAAGAAGACACTATATAATACTAAAGGTGACAATCCAACAAGATATAATAATTGTAAATATCTATGCATGCAATGCAGAAGCACTCAATTACATAAAACAATAACCAATATAAAGGAATTAATAATAATACAATAACACTAGGGCACATTAACACTCTACTTACATCAATGGACAGATCATCTCAACAGAAAATCAGCAAGAAAACAATGACTTTGAATGACACACTGGAACAGATGGGTTTTAACAGATATATTCAGAACATTCCATCCTAAAACTGCAGAATACACATTCTTTTCAAGTGCACATGGAACATTCTCCAGAAAATATCACATATTAGTTCACAAAACCAGCCTCAATAAATTCAAGAAGACTGAAATAATACTATGCATCTTTTCTGACCACAACAGTATGAAACTAAAAGTCACCCACAAGAAAAAATCTGGGAAGACCATAAATACATGGAGGTTAAAAAACATGCTACTGAACAATGAATACGTCAACCAGGAAATAAAAGAAATTAAAAAGTACATGGAAACAAATGAAAATGAAAACACAACAGTCCACAACCATTGAGATGCAGCAAAAGCAGTTCTGAGAGGAAAGTTTATAGCAATACAGGTCTATCCTAAGAAGCAAGTAAAATATATGGTAAACAACCTAATTTTACACCTAAAGGAGCTAGAAAAAGAACAATAAACAAAACTTAAAACCAGCAAATGGCAGGAAATCATGAAGATTAGAGAGGAAATAAGTAATACAGATACTAAGAAAACAATAGAACAAATCAATGAAACCAGAAGCTGATTCCTTACAAAAATTAGTAAAAGTGATAAACTTCTAGCCAGACTTAGCAAAAAGAAAAAAAGACTTAAGTAATAAAATCACAAATTAAGGAGAAATAACAACCAACACTATGAAAATATTAGAAATTATAATAAAATATTATGAAAATATGTATACCAACAAATTGGACAACCTAGAAGAAATAGATAAATTCCTAGAAATATATAAACTACCCAAACTGAGACAGGAAGAAAATAGAAAATTTAAACAAACCCATTACCAGCAAAGAAATTGAATCAGTATCAAAAAAACTACCAACAACAAAAGTCCAGGAACAGACAGCTTCACAGGCAAATTCTACCAAACATTTAAAGAACAGCTAATACCTATTCTTAAACTATTATAAACAATAGAAAAGGAAAGAACACTTCTAAATTCATTCTATGAGGCCAGTTTATCCTGATACCAAGACCAGACAAAGATACCACTAAAAAAGAGAACTACATCATATCCCTGATGAATAAACATGCAAAAATCATCAATAAAATATTAGCAAATGAAATCCAACAATATATTTTTAAACTATTTTTTAAAAATTATTCATCACAATCAAGTGGGATTTATTCCTGCATTGCAAGGGTGGTTCAATATTCTCAAATCAATCGGGGCGCCTGGGTGGCGTAGTCGGTTAAGCGTCCGACTTCAGCCAGGTCACGATCTCGCGGTCCGTGAGTTCGAGCCCCGCGTCAGGCTCTGGGCTGATGGCTCAGAGCCTGGAGCCTGTTTCCGATTCTGTGTCTCCCTCTCTCTCTGCCCCTCCCCCGTTCATGCTCTGTCTCTCTCTGTCCCAAAAATAAATAAACGTTGAAAAAAAAAAATTAAAAAAAAAAATATTCTCAAATCAATCAACCGTGATACATCACATCAATAAGAAAAAGGATAAAAACCACATGATCATTTCAATACATGCAGAAAAAGCATTTGACAAAGTACAGGATCCATTCATGATAAAAGCTCTCAATAAAGTAGATTTAGAGGAAACATACCTCAACATAAATAAAGGCCACATATGAAAAATCCGCAGTGAACATCATCCTCAATGGGGAAAAACTGAGAACTTTTCCCCTAAGGTCAGGAGTAAGACGAAGATGTCCACTATCACCACTTTTATTCAACACAATACTGAAGTC